AGGGACAGTGGGCATACTGGTAGAAGGATGTTAGAAATGCAGCTGCCAGGAAAAAGACAAAGAGGAGATATATGGATGCAGTTAGAGAGGACATGGAGGTAGTTGGAGTGAGGACAGAGTGAGATGGAGGAGGATGTCTCGCTGTGGAGACCCCTGAAGAGGGAAACGCCAAAAGAAGAAGTATGAATCATTCATTAAACTTAATCAAGATTAAGAAGCAGACTTCCTTCTTTGTAAATAAGAATTGTCCCCAATTGCCCCCAACTTCCCAGTGAGGATCATTTGAGGACATGCTCTTCTTCAGGAATTGTTTTCATCATCTTCCACCTCACAGGACAGACATGAGGTTAACATTTATGCAGCAACAATTAAAACAAGCCAAAGTTTAGTCCAGATGTGTGGATGAAAGCTGATTGTTGGTGAATTAATGATATGACAGAATCTCATTCTTGATTAAGTTTTTAATTAAAATAATGAACATTAATGAAATTAGGTGGTGTGACATGGATCAGCTAATACATCAAGAAGCATTTGATTTGTATAATCAGAGGTTCAACATTTTCCACACAAAGAGGCTACCTATTTCCCTTGCAGTGATTAAACAAGTTCTGATTTTAATTTAATGCTGTGGTAAAGTTGCTTACAACTGAAGTTACTTAAGGTAGAAAAGTTTCAAATAAATCCACAGTTGCAATTCCACCTGGTAAGCAAAGAAGTCAATATAGTAGTGCCTGCTTGAACACAAAATCCATCCATTATCTTTACCAGCTTTAAGATCAAGAAGACACTGTGGACAGATCTCCAGTCCATCACAGGGACATATAGAGACAAACGAGACAAATTCACTCTCTCACTCACACCTAGAGACAATTTAGAGTTACCAATCAGCCTAAAATGCATGTTTTTGGTCTGTGGGAGGAAACCGGAGTACCTGGAGTAAACTCATGCATGCACAGAGAGAACATGCGAAGTCCACCCAGTTTGATCCGGTGACCTTTTCTCTGAGAAGCAACAGCTCTACCTGAGCCACCCAAACACATCATTAAAAAAAAAAGAATGGTAAATAAAATAAAGTAAATAAGGAGCAAGAAATAAAACTATCTGCTGTGTAGTGTAGAGGGTTTGGAAAACTTAAATTATTCTGACTCTTGAAATTTAATTCAGAATATCAAATGTACCTTTTTTTTTTTTTACTTGTCTTATTTTTGCAACGATTTAGCTACAGCAGCTAAAAATCCCAACAGTTTTCTCGCTCTCTCATGGTCTCCCAGGTTCTTTTTGGCCATCCTGCACAAGTGAATTGTTTATGAAGTGGGGTTGCGGTCACTTCACTGGATGTGCGATGGGCATCCGGCCAACCCAAGGCTCACAGAAACAGCCGGCTACAGACCTCCCTGTGCCGTCAGCTGACTTCGTTTCCCAGGGTCCTGGGATCCAAAAGGCCATCTGAGTCAATCTCTACAAATACACAAGAAGAAGAAGCTGGAAAAATGTTTAGATTCCTGTCGGGTGGCCAAACACTAGCAGGGAAACAACAGCTATCATGTACAGTAAATTAGGTTTTAATCATTCAGTCTGAAGACTCTACTGCAGGCATACATCAGACAGTCTAAATGAATAATTCAGGTCTTTTTAAGTGGAGAACTGAGGAAAGATTATTAAAAATGTACTTGTATTATTTTTACCTTTTATAGATAGCTCTTTGATTCATGGATTCATAACTTTTCCATACAATGTCACTTGAAAAGATTCAAACTATCACTTTCGGCTGGTTTTTATTTTATTTATTACTGTATATGTGTATACACATGTCTAAAGTAGGAATATTTTCCATATATATATTTTTTTTAATCAAACAAGATTTATTCAAGTCAACCTAGCTTAGCTAAGAGAGCTTAGAGTAAGGGAAAGTGTGCGTCCTCCTCCAGGCTGGACAAATGGTCACATGAGATTTTATATGCTTTTTGGGGACTTTAAAATAGGCTTGTCGCAATAAACGATGAATCAATTAATCGCATGATAAATGAAAATTATCAACCTGATTTTCATTTATCGGCTTTATCATTTCTTCATGTCTCGCTCAGTACTGAAGACAGTGGATGACAAAAGGATCAACTCCGGTGCTCTTCAATGACCCCTCCCTTTCTCTTTTCTCTTTAAAATAATTTTTAACCATCCAAAATCGCGTTTTTGGATCATTGAAAGCAGCTAAGCTGAGAAGCTAAGCTACGAGCTAAGCTAACAGGCTGACCTCTGGGAAAAAAACCTCCGTCTTGCCGAAGCTCCACAATTCACGGTTGAAACCCGTGCCTTCGTGTAAAAAGTTTTTCTCTGCAAAAATAAGCGGAGAACTTGTTTACTGATTTTTTTTTATTAAAAGCTTTTTGTGAAAAATGCTATGCTAAAGAGCTCAAACCACACTGAGCATCCGCCACTTTGAGAACTGAAGAGAGACAGCCCATGTCACATCAAGGGGCCTCCCTCCCATTTTTTAGAGACACGCTGCTCACTCCCTTACTATCCATTTTTCGGTTCAAACAGCCTTATACTGCCATCCGGTGGTCAAAAATGGTACTACATGCAAAACAAATAAACGTTTCTTCTTAAATTTGACAATAATTACTAATCATTGTCTAATTTCAAACAATATTATCGTTTATTGCAATAATTTCTGATACAATTAATCACCCAGCAAAATTTGTTATCGTGACAGGCCTACTTTAAAACATTTCTAAAAAATGACAAACCTGTGTAAAAGAATATCACATTACCTATTATTAACCCTTTTAACTTTTTGCATATTTTCTTAGCCCAACAACATCTGTATTACTATATGGATGTATATGTGTGGCTCATAGACCGTTAGTGGCTGATGTTTTTAATAGATGATTTACACAATCCATGCTTAGCATACATGCGTCCAGCCATCTCATACATATGGCTTTTAACTAGCCCTTAACTACTTTTAGCCTTTAGGTTCCGCTTTGATTCTTCTTGCCTTTTTAATAAATTTAGCTTGTTTTTAGCTACTTTTAGCTACTCTTTTGCTATGTTTGACTTTTAGCTACTTTTTTGAGAAAATGCAACCACCTTAACAAAAGGTGTTATGCAAGAGTGTGGAGGTTTAATTAGCTAATGTAGCATTCATTCACACCATTCTGCTTTTTGTCTGATTTTATTATTGTTTTGTATGTTTTTTGAAAGTTGTCTTAGAGGTAAGAAAAACATCGTAAACGGACCCTTGTTTGGCTAACCATTAGCCTGACTTCAGCCTTTTTTATACTCCTGATTCTGTGTCACAGCTGATAAGATACACGATAACTATTTGACAGAACATTACCAGACTCTCCCTGTAAAGACAGCCTTGTGTCATCTCCAAGACACAATGTTTACCGAAGTCGGATGCCTCATGTTGCAAAAATCTTCCCCATTTTTCCTGTGATGTGAGTCAGGGAGCTGTGGAGGGGAATGAACGTTCTCCCATCTTTCTCACGGTTCAGTTAGCCATCAGTTTGAGCCAGAAGGAGCCACAAGTTATTTGACAGTTTTAATTAATACAGTTCAGTTTACTATCCTGGTAAGTAGGGGTGCACCGATAGCAGTTTTATGGCCAATCACCAATTTCTAAAAAGTCTGACCTGTCAATACCGATTTTGTTTTATAAGTGACACTGTCTGGTGTTATAAGGTCACAATGCACCTTCAGTTTTCCAATCTTATTTTAGTGACAAGCATACCCTTGAACAATATCCTAGAAACAATACAAACTTGTTTTAACTGACCACGAGGTAGTGCTCTGAAATATAAAGAAAGTTCAGACAATTGTTGTTAAAAATAAATTTAAAAAAATTGGTAAAATCGTTTTCTCATGCATCAGTCGATTTCCGATTTCCCAAAATTAAGAACATCGGGGCTGATAAATCAGCCGGCTGATTTATCGGCGCACCCCTACTTGTAAGAGTGTTTGGGTTTATTACTGAGCAGACCAGTGTTTGTGTAGGGTGGGTTTCACACATAAAATGTAAAACATTTTTTGGATGAGCTAGTTTTAGATAGCATTCTGCTCGTTTTGGCCATTTATCCCGCGTTTTTCTTCTTTTAGCTTGAACAAGTCAGCGTCAGCAAAGTCCAGCACTTATTCCACACTCACTTCAACTTTCACAGAAAATGCAATTTCTCTGGTTGCAAATGTTTCCACGTTACAAACTGTGTATGTTAAGATGGTTGCATTCACGATACTTTGGGGAAACCCTTTTAGTCTTGTGAAACCTGACATTTTTATCTTTATTATCATAGGCTCTAAAATACAAGCCCATTTACTCCCACAAATACCTGCCCCACCTTTTGTCTTTAATGAAGTCTTTCTTCTTTGTCCTTTTCTGCATTTTGTCTTGCTGAAGAAGCCGCTCTCACACTGGGGCCCACATTCATGAGACAGAGAAGGAAAACACAAAGAGCTCCCTACACTGTGGAGAGGGGCTGTGAACTCAGCGCTGACTCCTGAAGGATGTGTGTGGGCTGCACCCAGACACATTTCCCCCTCCCTCCTCTGACTCAGACGCTCCCGCTCCCTCTCTGAACTTGACCTCCTGCTAAAACCCAAAACAACCTCGATCTGACTCGCAAGCTGTCAATAGCAACTTGTTGAGAGAAGTTAGCAAGCACTTGGAAGAACAAGAGCAAGAACCTCTGAAGGGCTTCTTTCGTGTAAAAAGTTGACATAAAATTTACAACTTTTCGAATACGAGCCAAAAAAGCTTCGAATCTAAGAACGCATATTAACTTGACTGTGTTTTCTGCTACGGCTTAACATATAATGCGCCTGTCTAGACATTTCAGAGTTTTTTAGTGTTTTCTCTTGGCTTGTCTTGACCATCCTGTTCTTAAATCAACCCGATGGCAGTAGATGTTCCAAAAAATGTGCAGTAAGATTTCAAAAGAATTTAGATTTTGCTGTAAATCTGAGTCCCTCATGTCTTTTTTTTTTTTTTTGTCTTCCAGTGCTGGATCAGCTCCTGATGGAGCTCCACCGCCTCCTGCTCATCCTGGACAAGGAGACCCTGAGCGGGAACGCCACCATCCAGAAGTGCCTGCTGTCGGATCTCCTCCAGTCCTACAAGTCGTCGAGTGGTGAGAGAAAAAACTCCGATCAGAACAGACGAACCAAATGATAGCTCACTACCTGCAAAACTGGCTTATTTTATGTGCTTTCTAAATTTGCTTAGCTGTGAACGCCATCTTGAATTGGTTGTACCCAAAATGTAACCACTTCAGATCCAGAAGTTACTTTTTGAGCATTTTATTTGAATCTGTCAAGTTGTTCATGATACAGTATGCTAACATTAAACTAACACACACAGACAAAAAGCATTATTGCCCTTTACCTTCTGCAGCAGGTGATATTCACTTCTAAATTGAAATATGAAGGAATTTTATATATTTTGTACTCAAATACTTGCTGGAAGTGTTTGCATATTACATTATTAGTATATTACATACTCAGGTCAGTAAACTGTGCTTTTGACATTTGGCACCATTCACCTCTAAACCAGCACAACTTTCTCTTCCTCTAATGTGCTTTTCCTTACATAGCTCCCATAATGTAGCACAAGAGTTTAGTGGTTAGCACTGTAACTTCACAGCAACACGTTCCTGAGTTCAATCCCTGGTTTGGTCCTGGGGTCTTTTCATATGGAGTTTGTGTGGGTTTTCTATGGGTACTCCAGTTTCCTCCCACAGTTAAAGAACATGCATGCTAGGCTACCTCCCTTGAAAAAGAGATCTGTGATCTCAATGGGATTTGCCTGGTTAAATAAATCCACTTAAGTGTCAATAAATTTAGAAATTCTGTTCAACCTTTCACTTTTTGCTTTTGTATTGCTAAGAATGTGCTGAATATTCCACCAAACGTATAGATTAGAATCAGTTCCTATATAAATCTAAAGTGAGACGTAGAGTCAGGAGTTTCAGATTTAGGATTACCGTATTTGTCACCGTACATGTCGCACCGCCGTATAAGTCAGATCAGTCCAAAAATGTCTAATAAAGTGGAGAAAAACATAAATAAGTCACTTTGCCATATAAGTCGCATCTATTATGCGTCACCACTGACAACCTGGAAACGTGGGCCAGTGTTGTGCCAAAAATCGATTGGCTGCCAAATGGCAGCCGCGGGAGCGTGCACGGGAGGACTTTAACAAGAATTTAACAAGATTAACCCTTGAAAACAATTATTTGTTTGCTCAACATTATAGCAAAGGTGAGTCTCAGTTTAACTTTTCCTTAATAAATGCACTTTAAAGGTCAAATCAGCTGCATTTCAAAAATAGATTTGCAGAAGCGGGAGCGCACAGAGGGAGACTCGCTGTGCATTTTGTCGAAAATTTAATAAGATTAACACCTAAAAACAATTGTTTATTTGCTTGACATTACAACAAAGGTGTGTCTCAGTTGAACTTTTCCTTAATAAATGCATTTTAATGGTCAAATCAGCTGCATTTTGCCTGGGTGGCGCGGCGAAATGCAGCTGATTTGACATTTGCTCCAGGAGTTCTAAAGCGAGACGAAGGTGGCTTTGTATGGCAAGCCAAGTGTCTCATTAATAGCCACTTTTACCTATTAACGATACACTTGGCTTGCCATACTTCTCGAGGGCCCTCTAGTGGCTGAAAATGGTAGTGTTTAATATTTTCCATGTTAGAATGAATGAAATCGTCAGATCTCAGCCAAAGATTGAGTTGTAAATATGGGGGGGAAACTGTATATTAGTTGCTTCGGTGTATAAGTCGCAGGACTTGCAAATTTATGCAAAAAGGTGCGACTTATAAAATTACAGTACTTCTGTATCCAACCTGACTTCTAGCTGTTTTTTTAGCTTCAACATTTCAGTCAATGCACAGTAGCTGCTGGACATGAGCACCAGTGACCCGGAAAGAAAGATAATGGATGAATGGATGGAGCAATTCATTAAAAATAAACAAATAAATAAAATTATTATTTGAACTTCATTTTACCAGGTTAGTCAGTTGAGAACAAATTGTCATTTTTAATGATGACCTGACCAAAAGGCAGCAAATACCAAAGTGCTAGAACAGCAGAAGGACAGTATATAGACAACTGGCAGTCAAACATCAAATTCTACTGACCATGAGAATACACAACAGTCAAAAGAGCTAGGACAAGTTAATGGTGCAAGAAAGTAACAACACAAGTTGAAGAGGAGATTCCTAAAAGCATATGCAATGGTTGTCAGGTGATTTTCTCACTGAGGCTTTTAAAAGATGCAAATGAGATTTTAAAAAGTGAGTTCTAGAATGTGTTAAAAGATACATGCTGCCACTTTATTTGTTTGCAAACTCAGACTTTGTTCTCATAATCGGGCTGTGCACTTTGACCTAAAGGAAACCACTGAGTCAACTGCAGTGACTTCTTTAAAGAAGGGGTTGAATAGATTAGTCGACTTGTCAATTCTAGGACATCTCGCGAGTTTTTTTTATTTCATATCGACTAGTCAGTCAGTGATTGTGTCATGTGTCACGTGATCAGCGCCGGGCCGCTGGTTACAAAACGGATTCTTCCAAGCAGATGGAAGGCGAGGAAGCCAGGTCTTCCCAAACAGGTAGATATTCATCAATAGTGTGGAAGTATTTCACTAAAGATGATGTTTTTAGTTTCATTTTATTTAATCCACTAAATAAATTAAAAAAAAAAAAAAAAACAGGGAAGTGCTCCACCAGAGAATCCACCACCCCTGGTAGAAAATCCACCACCGTGGTGGTGGATGGTTTTTATTTTAATTTTATTTAACCCACAAAATAAAATAAAAATAAAATCTGGGGTGTGCACCACCACCGGTGTGCACCGCGCACCACCACTGGTGGAGAATCCACCTCCGCTGCGGTGGTTTATTTAATTTAATGGATTAAATAAAACAAAACTAGCTTTTGCAGCTTAATAATAGTTTTGATTTTCATGTTACTTATTTGCAGTATGATAAATGGTAGGAGCATAAATATACACTCCCAATGTTTTGTTGTTCTTTTTTGGTAAATAATAAATGACGTTTTTTTTGGGATTTAAATTTTTTTTAGAGTCTTCAACTAGTCGATGCCGACTCGACTATTATCATGTTAATATCAACTTTAAAAAATTTCACAAGATAACCACCTACAAACAATTGTTTGCTCAACGTTAAAGTAAAGGTGTGTCTCAGTTGAACTTTTATTTAATTAATGCACTTTAATGGTCAAATTAGCTTCATTTCGCCAGGGCGGCGCAACAAAATGAAGCTGAATTGACGATTGCTCCAGGCGAGCTGGACAAAGGTGGCAGGTTATGGCCAGCCGATTGTGTCATTAATAGACACTTTTACCTATTACATGACACAACAACATGCCATACTACACGAGTGCCACCTAGTGGCTGAAAATGTTATTGTTCAATATTTTCAGTCAGAATGAATGAAAATGGTCATATCTAGCCAAAAATTGGTTTATAAATGTGGAAAAAATCCATAAATATGTTGCTTCTGTGTATGTTGCAGGGCATGCAAATTATGTAAAAAACTGCAACTTATAGGCTGAAAAATACGGTAGTTTTCTTTATTTGCATTTGTCTCGTTAAAAAAACACCTTGGCCAACCTTGTCAAGTTGCACTCATGTCCAAATAATCTGAACCCACCCGGCCCCACTCCACAGTCATCATCTCCAAACCCCATCCGATCTGACGAATTAACAGTAATTACAGGTCCGAATCTGACCCCCCCCCCCCCCCCCCAGCATTTTCCTCTGCATTTTTAATTAAGCTTTGACTGCTTATAACATCAACTATTAATAACGGTTGGCGGATGCGCGAGGCTGAAGGGTCATAAGATCAGAGCTGAGGAGCCATCAAAGCGCATTAAATGCTTCCCCTGCTTCTGCCTGCATCAAACCCTGCTCTGACATGTCGGATATTTTGTGATCTCACCTGTTTGGGTCTCGGCCGCATGCGTCCGCTGAGTGCAGCATCTGAAGCTTAACTGAACTTTTTACCTCTTTCAACCGGCCGGTCAGCGCGCGGTCAAATGGCCGTGTGCAGCAGATGCAGTATGGCAAGCCATGTTTGCATATATTGTATCGTCAGCCACTCGCATCCCTGACGCAATAAAAAGCTAGACACCAACCCGGCCCACACATTAAGCACATTATTATGACCCGGACCGGTCTGAATCCAGGTCAGGCTGGGCGGGGCCGGGCTCTGGGTTCGGGTTAGAAATGACAGCTCTACACCCCTGTGCCACCCCTTACAAAAAAGTGTAGTTCCGCCCCTGCCATTGACCCTTTGGACTGAAACGTTTTGCCTTGCTGTCTTTCTCAGAGAACTGTCCGCAAACACACTCAAGTAAGTCCTGATTTTCCATGTTCAGGTCTTGGACTCGTCCCTCCGTGCTTCCTCCTCTGGCTCCGAGCTGTATCATTTTTCCAAAGCAGCATTTATCTCCCAAAGGGTACGCTCACTTCCTCTGCAAAGCGGTTTATAAATAGCCTTTTCAACTCTGTTCCCTAAAAGTCTGTTTTCACTGTTCAGGCGAAACATGATGTTATTTCTTGGTTTTACCTCTCAGGATCAGTTTCAAAGGAGGGAAAGCTTCTTAGAGTTTCTCCTCAGGCTGGAGCTCTGTTTGATTTCCTCTCAGGATCTGATATTAGTCAGCAAAATTACTCAGAAATATTTATTTAAATTCAAACAGATTTCCCCAAACTGGTGCCACAGCTTCAGGACAAATTCCCATAACAGGTTCCAGTAACTAGCTATAGCCTGCTATTTAACACCCTCAGGATCTGTTAATTGAGAGAAGATGTTTGTTCTGATTCCTTTTGTGGAAATGGTGCAATTACTTTTTCCTATTTAACTTTGTTGTTAGCACAAAAAAAAAATCTTCATTACATAAAACTTTGGCATAAAGTGTTGGCATCAACCTTGCCTGGCTGTTAGCAAAATATTTTGTGACTCAATGGATGGATTTGAACAAAACTCTCAGAAAGTAATCAGTGGTTGTACATCTCTTTTTCTGTTGGGGTCAGTCCAATTCCAGATGGCCACCACAGCTAACTGACATTAATAATGGCTACAACTCTGTAAGCTTTACAGAAACTGAGCTAAAATTCAGCATGGTGGTAGCCGTAAGTCCTTTTCAACATATACTTTGAGCACAAACAGATCACATGAGATCTCACAATATAACATAATACTGTGCACAACCTCATTTACAGCGGCTATAACTCCGTCTCTTCTCATCATAAATTGATTTTAGTTTAAAACTCTGGCAAAGGAATGGACATGGCTTGGAGTCCCCCACAACAAGCTGGAAAGTGTCGCTAGAGAAACGGATGTTTGGGTTTCTCTCCTGGACCTGTTGCCTCTGTGACCCGACTACGGATAAGTGGAAGAAGAAGAAGAAAATATAGAGTTTTTTTTTAAAGCTCACAATTTCCATTTATATAGTGACGTAATTGTTGTTAGCCTAAATTGACATATACATATACTACATATACATACAATGTAAATATATATATATATATATAAATACACACAGTACAGTATATATATATATATTGTTATTTGGGGCCTGTGTATTTACAGATATGATGTCCATCTTTAGCTGATAGTCTAACCTCAAAGGTAGGAACATTTCGGGCCTCTCTGTGACGTCTCTGACTAATATTTGATGAATGCCTGCCGCGGTGAGAGTGGGTGTCGAAGCTGATCCCATCTGTCTGTACAATGGGCCACTTGTTTGGATAAAACTCCTCTTTAATCCGGGACTTTTCACCATCATCCTTAAAGTTTGTTTGGCACCGTGGTGTCGTCAGAATCTGCCCTACGAAGGAATTCACAGGAGAGAAGAGAGCAAAAATGATCACGTTCTCTGGAGCTGACACCAGTTTTAGGCCAGAGGAAATGAGAGGCTTAAGTTGAAAGTTAAAGTTTTGAGACGTTTCAGCTGCTTGTTTTAATCGCATATTTCTTTTTTTTAACGATAAAATCAATTAAAAGTTTTGAAAATGTTTTGTTCTACAACAATCTTTAAAAAAAACAAAAACATAAAATTATGACCGTTTACTTCAAAACATAAAATTGAATTATAGCCATTTCTTTCCCCCACTTCCGTTGAGGCCAGATATTTCAGCTGAGATCATCTTACATTAAGAAATCACAGAGTTGTCGCCATTCTGGTCAGACCTGGAAATTAATGTATGTGACTCTCGGCTACTAACACATCCTATATGATCTTAATATCTTTGAAAATGACTGAGTCGTTGCCATTTTTTTGTTGGCTAAGATCAGTCAGCTGTGGCAGCCATCTTGAAATGGATTAGCTCCAAAAGGTAATCAGCGTTAGACATCCAGTGAAGATTTCCTGAAACTTCATTAAAACCCATCCAGCGCTTGATATATTTTCCTAACAGACACACAATTTACAAGCAATGATATGCATTTTGAAATAGCTATGAGGTAAGAAAGCAAATAAAGGTTAAGACATTTGCTTGATATGATTTCAGACACCATTGTAATAAATGTAATATGTATTTTGACGTAAGGCTTTTCTTAAAAACAGCATCATCCGAATGGTATAACATGTTCAAATGTTAAATGGTCCCTCTTATTTCAAGAAGCACAACTTTCAGTTCAGATAAAACTTTCAATGTTCCTCAGTGAACGAGCTGAGCTGAACCCAGCACAGATCAGGATGTTTGAGGGAAAACCTCTGGGAAAAGAAGGTTATAGTTGGAGGATGGCAGGATCTTCGGGGATCTCAGATTAATGTCTCAAAGTAAAGCAGATTAGAGATGTCGGAGACTGAAGATGAATTGGTTAGAAATTTTAAAAAAGCATAAAGTGTCTGAAACTGAACGTCAAAAACACAGAAAACTAGAATAAGTGCAGAAGGCCTTACCACACTCAATCAATCAATCAATTTCTATAGTACATTTTAAAAACTGCAGGGGTAGCCAAAGTGCTGTACAATAGGACAAAAATAGATTAAGACAATAAGAAAAGAAACATACGAAACATAAATATACCAGGTTCACAGCAGGTGTGTTTTAAGGTGTCATAAAAGACAAGATCTTCTGCAGTGGGAACATGCCAATAGGTGGTTGATGGGGGTGCTGCTGCCACAACACACACACTCACACACACAAATACACTCTTTTAAGAGCAAGGTGTAAGGAGGCATTTTTGCAGGAAAAGCGATGTCTCAAGCTTATATTTTGTTTATAAATCAGTGCAGGGATTCCTAACAACCGCGACAAGTGTTTGTGGGGCTTCCTTCAGTGTCGATGACCCAAAAGTTGCCCGGTTGAGTCTTCAGCCGAGACAGAACAGAGATATCTTCATTTTCTCTAAACTGTCTCTGATTTTACAACGTTGAGGCTAAAAGCCCCAATCTTTTAAATGTTTACTATTTTTTTTTTCTACAGTCTTGTATTTACACATACAGTAAATCCTTTCTATTGTTTTTTTATATACAGTAGTCTCTCACTACTTTGTGGTTCGTTTTTCGCAAACTCGCTCTATCGTGGTTTTTCAAAATAAGATTGGACATGACACAAAATTGGCTAATTGATGGATGAGCCGCACGATCAGCATGGAATTTTTATTTAAAATAAATTATTTTAAATTATTTAGCACCTGCTGCACCTGTGTGCAGCCCACACTGCAGGAGAAGCTTCCTCCTCCAGCTCCTTCTCCCTCCTCCTCTGTCGATCTCTGTTCTACAGCGGAGAAGTGGGCGTGGCCAAGAGTGCTGGCAGGTGGCAGAGTGCAGCCGGTGGCAGAGAGAGCTGAGATCATGACAAGCGTTTAGTTTAGAAACATTGTTTAGAATATTGCAAGAGTGTGTTAGTTGTTTAAAACACCTTTATATATTGATATATATAAAATACTAAAATAAACTACTACTTACTACTTGTACTACTATTCTTACTTCATGGTTTTTCACTTATCGCAAGGCTTCAGGGTACGGATACCCCACGATAAACGAGAGACTACTGTATATAATTTGCCCTATCATGTTGGTTTATTGTAATCTGGACACCAATTTTGTAAAAATGGGTTCATTTTGTTGTGTTCAAAATTAATTTGCAATTGCTGTCTTTTAATTGTAGGATTTTATTCTATTTCATATAGATATTTAACAATTTGTACTTTAAAAAAAAATCTACATCCTGCACAGTGTACCCATAATTTGGGATGTTAGAACACAGTGTGCAGCTGCTGCTGAGGACTTTTTTTTTTTTTTTACAATTAAATCTATCTGGATTTAAAGGAAAGTCCTCGGCAAATGTTTTTAATTAATCTGTTAAACTAAACATCTTACTGAGTCTAGTCAAAGTTTACGTCTTCTATGGATTTAAAACCAGTTAAACTTTAGGGAAAATATAACATTTGTTTAATAAGGTTAAGTCAGGTCCTCTGTACGGATTCTTCTTTCAACAAAGAATCTGTACAGATGACCTGACTTAACCTTGTTAGATTTTTCTACCTGGATTATTGAGCATCAGGATAAAATGTGTTTATTCTAATAATTAGTAAAGTCACTTTTTCCTGATGATGCTGCAGCAGCTTGGTTACCTCTGTACGGCGGCCAACAGGTGCAATCACGCCGCAGATGGCGACATGCTCTTAAGGACCCTGAATGATGCAAACTCCAACATAAAAACAAATGCAACAGCAAAACCCTGCAAAACAAAACCATACAACCAAGAAAACAAATGGAAAGGAAAAAATGCTGCAAAAACACTTTTTTAAAGCTACTTCAAGTAAGAAACGCTGCAAACTTGGAAGTGGACCAGACGTAGAGGGACATGACCACCAAGTCAAATGTGACCAAACCCCTTTCTAAAGTCATTATACTTTCAAAGCATGCAATAATATATAAAATCTCTCATCCAAAAAGAGGTTTTGGAAATGTAAGAAAACAACAGGTAGCTACTGTTAAAGGTAAAGTAAGGCAGAAAAATAAACAGCTAGACAAAGGCTTTAAATCGTGGTTTGCTGTCTCATGGGAAAACCAGAGATAATATATTAAGATAAACATGAAAAAGAAAGCATTAGAAAAATTTGCCACCGTATGAAATCTGTATGAATTAGTGGGTAGGAGTAGCAAAACAAGCAGTAAGTCCAGCTAAGATGAAATCAATTTGTTAACCACATTTTCTTTCCCCTCGTCTCACACAGGCGCTGATGAAGAGTATATTTACATGAATAAAGTTCTTATTTCGGGGACAAAGGACAACAATGGTGAGTGTTGTTTCTGAAATATGACAAAAACATACAAAAGATTATAATAATTTTATGATTTTTATGAAACCTTATGACTTGTGACACAATACAATATGTTTTATGCAACACTCGATTCACCATTTTGATTGAATCAAGATGTTCAGTCAGCTTGGGTTTATTTTTGACCAATTCCAGTACTTATAAGTATTCATATCTGTGACTTCTGTGGAAAAATTTGTCAAAATGAGGAACTTTTCAATAATGATTTATTCTTTTTCTAATTCTCCATCTCACAATCTTCAAAATGATACATAGTTTGTTGAAATTGTATAGTTTATCTTCTGGTTGATGACGTCTTTATGGACTCATTTTTGGACGGATGGATGGATGGATGGATGGATGGATGGATGGATAGATGGATAGATGGATAGATGGATAGATGGATAGATGGATAGATAGATAGATAGATAGATAGATAGATAGATAGATAGATAGAT